TTTTATTTGTTTAAGTGCAATCATAAAACTTAATTACTCGCACCACTGTGAAATGTTGATCTTATCTTTTCGTTTTTCGTTTTTCCTTTTGATCTTCTCATAATTATTTCCTTCGAATCAAAAAAAAGAAAGAAAGGACATATTTTTAGAAATGCAAGTGCTGACAGCACAAGTAATGTATTCGATACACAAAGAAACTTCCTTTTGTGTAGTTCTGTATCCTCTGCATGAGAACAATACGAGAATGATACTAAACTCGAGCAAAAAAAAAAATTATTTTCCTGATAATAGCATTGAAGCTTAAATAGGTGAAACAAAGACTATCTCCTCATTTAATTTTGTCTCAATATATTCCTTTAACACATAATAGTTGTTTGATTTTAGTAGCGTCAGGGCATCCTCTTCTGTCCAAGCAGTGCACTGGCACCGTTTTGATAATACACATTCGGTCATAAAAATGCATGTTTCAAAAATAAACTTGGATAGCTAATAAAGGACCAACAACCATTTGTAACAAAAAATATCGGTTTAAAAAGATAAAGCGACACTTTCAACGAGAGAGCCACCTCTCTCTAGTTGAAATAAACGATGCAAAGTTGAGATTTTTACCAAAGAACTCTTTTGCTAAGAAATGCATATAGGATTTCAAGAAAATCGTTATGGCTTTGACAACTAAAAAACCTTATATTTTCCTATTGAGTCTTTTCGTTTTAATTGAAACAAAAATCAATTAAAAAAGAAGTAGATATTATAGAAAAAATATATCATTTTTGTTAGCGTCCATATTTATAGAAAAATATGAAATTCATATTACAACTATAGCATTCATCGACATAACGCAAGCATTTGAAAAGGTATGGCACATCGCACTGCTCTACAAACTGGAATTGCATCTACCACACAATTTCTATGCGTTACTAAATTCTTATATCAATAACCTATACTTCATGCTCAAAAAAGAAGAGTATAATACAAAAACTGTACCGATAAAAGCTGTAGTGCCACAGCTGTTCACAGCTGGACCTACCACTTAATCCATCAACGTGCACCGCAATTTTTGCTTATGACACAGTGATCATGTCCAGAAGTAGACATTTGCAAACAAATCAATACAGCATTCAAGTGTACCTAAACAAATGGCGCATTAAAGCTAACGAATCCAAATCTGAACAAACTACATTCACTCTTCGCCATAGTTATTGCCCACCAGTCCCACTAAATAATAACATATGAGAAGTATCTGGAAGTTTATATTGATCAACGTTTCACCTGGAAACACCATATTTATACGAAATGTAAGCAACTGGATCTGAAAATGCGTGCCAAAATTCAAAGCTATCACTGAACAATAAAGTACTTTTATATAAAGTTATTTTGAAACCAATATGGACTCACGGTGTCTCGATCTGGGGAACAGCTGCAAAATCTAATATAGCGATATTATAGAGATTAGAATCAGAAATCCTTCCTTTATGTGCGGCTGTTCCATGGTATATCCTATATAGTACTTTACAGCGCGATCTCGAAGTCCCATCACAGTTTGAGGCAATACAAACAGTCAACAAAAACTACCGTGCAAGGCTATCAACAAATCATCCGAACTCACTGGCACGCTAGCTGTTATCAGATATTAATCATCCACGTCGACTAAGAAAATTTTCTACGTTGGATCTGCCAAATAGAACCCTAAATACGTGAATCGTAATTGTAAAGTCACTGAATTTAAACAGTTATAACCACCTACTTACTCATTATTAGTAGTGAATTAATCTTTAGCGTTATTTACTACTGAGTTGCCCGCACATGTCTACATATCATTTTCTTCTATTTTATATTCATAAGTATTACTGCATGTTCTTTCAAAGATTGTATTTTTAAATCATAAATAAGAAATATATATAATGGTATATCTGCTAAACCAAGTCGGTTTACAATCGTTATAATTTAGCTTTTCCAGGTGTAATTAAATTCTGCTTAGACTTCTTATGATTTCACGAGAGTGTTTTAAAAGTGCTAGGTAACTGCACAAAAAATAGATGGAGAAATTCACAAAAGTTTTTGCAGGAAGCCTCTTTATAAACGTTCTCACTGCTTAAAAAGATATAGAAATCACAGAAAAAGTACTCCATTCCACGAAATATTTTAATTAAGTAATTTTCAGTTTTTAAAATAACATTGTTTTTTATTAAATTATTTTTAATATGTATTACATTTGTTTCTAGGCAATAAGTACATTATTTAACAATTATCAGTTTAAAGTATATAAAACAATAACTTAGTTAAATTGTTATAATATCCTTTTCTGTTAAAATTATTATAAATTTATGTTAATTATTATAATTAACATATATAATTATTATATAATATTAATTATTATAAATTTAAATAAAATTTTTATGATAAAAATTATAAAATTATTTAAATTATTAATAGTATAAATTATTTTGAGAATTATAATTCATTATAAGCAATTAATATCACAATTATAATTATTTTTATAAAAACATTTTAAGTTATAATAATTTAACATATAAATTAATAAATTGTTATTATTGCAAATTAGAACTTGTTTTAAAAAATTTTAATAATTTCAATTTTAAAAAACCATCATTTCAATTTTAAAAAATTATTATAATTTCTTATTTTAATTATGTGAAGCAGTTTTCAAAATAAACTCTGTTACCAATTATAATTATTATAATATGTATCGAAAACTACTGATTTTAAAAATTATTACTCACTTTAAAAAATTATTTTTATTTAAAAATGACAAAATTAATAAAAAATTAAATAAATAATTAATAAAATATTGTATTTTTTTAATACAAATTTAAAATTGTTTAATAATTGCGTACTCTGCATTTAATATTTAATATAATATTATATATAATATTTAAAATATATATTAATATTCAATATTTTAACTCATATTCGAATTTATTGTTAAAGTTTTAAAATATAAATTTAAAATTTTAATAGTGCAAATAAAGTTTAAAATTAAAGTTTTAGTTAAAAATTGAAATTTTTAGAATTTACACAGACAATAAAAATGTCTGTGCAAATTCACACATTTTAAGAAATTATTTTAATTTTTTATATATAAATTTGTTTTATAATTTTTTAAAATTTTAGTTTCAAAATGATTTCTAGTAAAAATGATCATTTTTAAAAGAATCATCAAAATATAATAATTGTGTACAATATTCTGGAAACTATAACTCGTTTTCAAAAAATAATTATAATTTTGTATTATATACCATAAATTTAAAGTAATTAGTTTTAGAAATCAATTTCAATATTAAAATTTTCAATAATAAAATTTTCATTTTTAAAACAAATATTGAAAAATAGTAATTGTGTACATTATTTTTAATATTATAATTCATTTTATAAAATTATTATAATGTTTTAAATTATTAATTATAAAATGAATATTAGGGAAATTAGTTTGAATATAAGCATTTTAGTTAAAAACTATAATTTATAAAAATGCTAAGAAATTTAAAATTTATGTAAATTATTTTAAATAATATTAATCATTTCAAAAAATTATTATAAATTTTTAAATTTAAATTTAAAATAATTAGTTCTTAATTAATTTTAATTTAATAATTTTTTTTTTAATTAATAAATTTATAATTTGTTTAAATATTAAAATTATTGCAAAAAATTATATCGGAGATTGGGTACTTAATTTTGAAAGTTATGATATATTTCAAAAAATATTGGTAATTATAAATTATAATTTTTTCTTATTATTATAATTTTTAATTATTGCAATTTTTTGAAACATAAATTTAAATTATGATTTTATTGTGCATATTAGTTTTAATATAACAATTTATTTTTTAAATTCGTTATTATTATTATTTTTTTTTGAATTGATGATTAATTGTGAAATCAGTTTTAAAATTAAATTATTATAAATAAACATTTGTTGTTTGATATTATAAAATTATAAATATGCAACAATTGTCAATAATTGTGCCACTTTTTCAGAAACTAAAATTCGTTTTAAAAAATATTTATAATATTAAAAAATTTTTAATTATGCAAATGACTGTGCACCTTTGTTTGGAGCTTTAAATTATTTTGAAAAAAATTGGTGATTTTTTAAAAATTATTAATAATTATATATATTACTTTAAAAATTATATTACATTTTAAAATTTTATCACATATTTGTAAATTACGATGTAATTATTTTTTATTGTGTTAATTAGATTAAAAATTAATGTATTAATAAATGTGGCGTTATAAAATACAATTATGATTTATTTAAAAAAAATTATTATTTTTACAATTAATAATTATGATTTATTAATTAATTATGTAATTAATTATATTAATTAAAAATTAATTATATCTATTATATAATTATGTATATTAATTATAAAATAAATTATATTATTTATATAATTAATTACACAATTAATTATATTAGTTTCATAATTATGTATAATAATTATATAGTTAATTATATTAGTTTCATAATTAATTATATTATTTATGTAATTAATTATTATAATTATTAATAATAATTTTTTAAAATTAATTGAAATATTAATTTAAAATAATTTATTTTTGAAATCAATTTGTTCAAAATGAATTTGTTCAAAATTATAATTTTTAAAAGAAACTTCAAATATTAATAGATGTGCCATCATATTTAAAAATATAACTCAATTTAAAAAATTATCACAATATTTTTAAATTTAAGGATAAAATTATTTAATGTGCAAATCAGTTTTAATATTAAAACCTCTGTCTGATAATTTTTATATCACGAAAATTAATCATTTTTGATTTTAACTAATTTAACTAAGTTTTAATATTATAACTTACTATATTATTTTTAAATTATTAATTGCATTAAATAATTTCGAAAATGTTTAACTATAATAACTAGGTTTAAAAACAAAACCAAAAACCTATTTCAAGTTTTAAAATAAAACCTGAAAAAACTTAAAAACTAAAGCATTCATTAATGAAGGCTCCGCAAGGAATATTAACTCTATATAGTAAATAATTAATACTTGAGAAACAATAAATAATGTGTCGCTATAGATTCATAGTAACTAAGAAAAATGTAATATAATTATATATAATATAGCTATATAGTATATATAGATATAAACAAGTATTCAATAGCAAATGTGGCACACGACCTATAGGGACATAATGTGCGTCATTAAATGCACTTCGAAAGATAACTGCGTGATGTACTCTTCGTCACATACTGGACAAATATATAGGTTGCCGTTGAAATATCTCATACTTTCAGTGTGTAAATCGAAACCAAGGTTAGTTATCACTAAGTCCGCGGGAGCGTTGTCATCATTAAGACGTACCGGATGTTGTTCATCTATTGAATTATCTGTAGGTATATTGCCACCAATTCTTGAGTCATAATCTGAGAATTGTGTAAATTTAATTTGTAGCATTAAAAAAAAATAATTTTTTAATGGGAACTGTATTTACATATACGAAATAGTTTACTTACTCATGTTACATGTCATACACTTCATGGCTGGAGCACTGTGTGTTTCCTTCATATGTGCATTCAATTTATCACGGAAAACAGCTGAATAAAAAATGATTTAAATGAATTTTATTTAGAGACTTAATCGATTTATTATAAACAACTTACATATTCCACAGAGTTTGCATGAAACTTTGGAATGAACATCACATGTGTGTTGTTTAAGCAAAGCTTTGGAACTACAACGGAATTCACACTGGGGACATTTTAAATTTTCAGAGATTTCATATCCATCAAATGTTTCACTATTTATGCGACAATCATAGTTTTTAATTTCGTGCTCATGATTTTCTGATTCATTCAGATATTGAAACTCATTATCCGATGGAGCCGGTAAAGCTTCTTCCGTTCTATATTCAAATAGAATTTCTTCCAACGGATCGTCAATAATTTCATTATTTATATTAATTCCAGGAAATTCCATTTCCTGTGGCTTCTTTTCTGATTCATTCAGATATTGAAACTCATTATCTGATGGAGCCGGTAAAGCTTCTTCCGTTCTATATTCAAATAGAACTTCTTCCCACGGATCGTTAATAATTTCATTATTTATATTAATTCCAGGAAATTCCATTTCCTGTGGCTTCTTTTCTGATTCATTCAGATATTGAAACTCATTATCTGATGGAGCCGGTAAAGCTTCTTCCGTTCTATATTCAAATAGAATTTCTTCCAACGGATCGTCAATAATTTCATTATTTATATTAATTCCAGGAAATTCCATTTCTTCTATTTGAATAGGTTTGATGTCATTTATGGTAGTAGTTGTGGCAGTAAATTCCTCCTCAATTGATGGTATTTCATCATTTTCATTATCACTGTGCTCATAAAGGAAGCGTCTACTGGATAAATCATCATCTAAATCAAGAAATTCCATATCTGTATTTGTTGGAACTTTTTCTTTGAAAGTCTCTCGAAAATGGTTTTGCGTGTTAATGCAACTTTCACGGAATTTTAGAATCTCCTTGAAAATTTGAATGCATGTTTCACAAATATTTTGCGGATATCCATCATTTTCAGTTATCTGAGTTTTATAACGAAATAGTATAGTTTATCTTTTGTTAATAATTTTGCATACGTTACCCTTAAATTCCAGGAAACGAATTCATATCGAAGTTCAAACATATATACATCAATCTCAAAAATTGATCTCAAGAACTTTGGATTTGTGTAATATACGCCGCATAAGCGGCACGCTTCTATGAATGGCTCACTTTGAGTTTCCATATCCAATATATTTTCAATTATATGCGAAAATGATCAGCTTTATTTGCTCTATTTATGCTACAATAGAAAAATATAAAAAATGTGAGATATTTAACAATCATTGACCTATTAATTAATTAAATATTTACATCTACTACCTCTGTACACACTACGTGTCTTACAATCAGATTCAAGTAATAACTTTGAAAAGATGCGATTTACAGTCACAAGAGAAATGAATAATTACTAAAAAACAAAATTGAAATATTTAAAATACATTGATTAATTCAAAAAAAAAAACATGTTCAATTAAAAATTTCAATTCCTGTCATTTAAAAACAAGTGTAACATGGCATTTACACTGGCCCCAAATAACTCATTTCAAATCAGTCATTTGAAAGTGTTTACCAAAGTAGATTAAATATTCTCTGGTGTTTACATTCGTTTTTCTTCATTTGTTCTCATTTCAAACAGCTGATTTGTTGACGTACCTGTTGTTTTGATTTTTGGCCTGTGCCAAAAAAATGTTGGAAGAAGGGAAAATATACCTTCAAACTTTACAATATAAACTGAAAACTTATTTCTAGCTTCGATTAAGTATTTTTTGGGAAGTTCCAAAAAGATGTCTATCGTTTTCAAGAACATGTAACCACCAAATATTTGTTCACCTTTTTTAAAACTCATTTGCGCATATGAGATTTTGTATGCAGAAATCAGTCATCTTCTTCTCATTTGTGATTTTTGACCGATCAGTCATTTGAGGTCAGTGGAAATGACATATAAAATATTAGGTCTGTTCCACGAGCTACTTGTAGTAACTTTGAGTAACACTGTTTATACACAAGTGCGTGCCACCAGCAAATTTCCGAGTAAATGAGAGCATCTGATAGAGCGTAACATCCCTGTCGAAATTTGAAAATGCTAAACAGACTTTACTCGTATATTTAATTTGGAGTACAATTTATGATGATGTGTGCATCAGCTGTTTTGGTTTGAATTTAAATTTTTGTGTTGTATTTGCGCGGCACTGGTGTTTTCACCAGACTTTACATAAAACTATTCCATGTAAATCTGTATAAAGAGAGTAATTTGCCACTTTATGTGTGTTACGCGCTCAGTGTGTACTTTACTTATGTTTTACTTAGAGTGTTACTACGAATAGCTCGTGGAACAGACCTATTATATGTAAATCAAAAAAATGTCTTATTATGCAGCTGATTTGTGTCTATATATAATATATTCAACATTTTGTCGAAAGTTGGCCATATAATTGCCAAAATTTATACTCTATAATCTAACAGCACATTTGAACTTCAGCTTGATTTATGTGTTTCAACAAATTTTGAACAGAAAATTTTAACTGTTTACACTTTAACTTAGTAAGTAATGTGACTTAGCTTAGTAATGTGAACAGCACATTGTTGACCTGCTTTTCAATATGACTCTCAGCGCTGTTCTCTTATTATTTACTGTTAAGTTTTATATCGGAAATATTAAATTATTAAAATTTTCTTCAATTTCACTATTTATGTTTTAAATTTAAGTTTTGAAATTGATTTTATGTGATAAATTTGAAATATATATATGTGCTGTTCTATATGTGATTCTTGACTCTATTTTATCTTTGCTTTTTAACTGATTGGAGCTTTTCGAAGCAATATTTACTAAGCCAAAAAGCAATTATTTTTACGAATTTTGTATGTATTTTTAATGACAAGAATAGTCCAATACAAAGTCCAATAACCAGAAGATAAACCTGAATATGTGTTAAAAATATAAGTTAATTCTACAAACTTACTAAGCGAACATAACTTAAATTTGATAGTATAAACGTATTGTATAATTTACTTTACGGTGAATTCTCAACAGAATTTAGGATTACTTAGTTTTTGTATTAGCACAATTGTTTCTTGTACTCTCATGCTTATTACTATGGGTAACGCAGCTATAAAATATCTTTACTATTGAGTATAAATACATAGTTATTCATTTTATAGGTCTGATTTTATAACTCGGTGTCACTGACAGTTGCCAAACTGCACTGTCATTCAAGGCATCATGCATTCGTTTAAAAGTTTGACACATAACTGCTTCTCACATAACTATTAAAACATTTAAGAATAGAAAAAAAAATATATTACTAAGCTACTTATACTTTTTCAAGATTTCCACACACGCTACCTTTAAGGTCACATACACCCAAAAATGGGTAAAAAAACAAGCGAGAAATCCTGGATACTGTTGGAATGAGAACATCACTACTCTAAGAGTAACTGCATCAATTGCCGGACAATTGAATATATTGAATGTGGTCATATTCATGAATTAGCAATCAAGTTGAGTACACAGAGAGCCTTTTGGTTTTATTTTCGATCGGTGGGAAAAAGGGGAAGTTGTATGGAGAGATATCATTGCTATTGGAGGCAGAATTGGAGGCAATACCAACCTATCCTAAGCTGCTTGGATAAATTGCAACTACATTTTTACCGAAAATGTCTAACTGTACTTCCCTCTTTGCACAGCGGCATATATTGGATTCTATACTAAATGACACCACAAAAAAGGTTTACAAAAGCCATGAAACGCGTGAGATTAAATAAGGTGCACCTGAACCGGATGACAACTTCAGTGTAGCTATTATTGCAGTTACAAAGTCTGAACCAGCCAGTTTCGTGATCCATTTGACAAGGTGTCTGCAAGATAGTATCTTCTTAACTCCCGGAAAAGCAAAAGATCTGGTAATCTGGCTATGGGTACATACTTTATACTAAAAATATGGAAAGAACAAATTTCTATCTGGTGATAGAAGCATTAATTGTGCATCTGAAAATATGCACTCTGAGTCCTCAGTTGAAAAGGATGATGTTTAAATATGACGACATAGCTATATCGAAGTACGTGTTACTATAAAGTGACTTAGAAACAACGTAGTGACAAGCTTATTTGGTCTACTTCCACAATTTTTTAATAATGGCGGCGATGTACTGATAAGATATATAGGTGGCATTAGCTCATTTGCAGAATATGGCAACGTCGTTCTCTATATGCAATGTCATTCTCGTTTTGAAAAAACGCAACCTGAATATTTGTTTGAAATTTTGAGAAACCAGACTAAGACCTAGCATATACAAGTTTCTTTAAGCATACTGTTTGAAAAGTTAAAGCTACGTACCAATGCACTGATTTGCTCTTATCACTACGTAAGGAGTAGAACATCATACCAACCAACATACTCCTGTTGTCGAATTAACGAAGAACAGGCGCAATACGCTACAGAGACTCTTTTTATTCTTTGCCAAGACTACTAAGTACGAGACTGAAAATGCAAGCAATTCATTTTATGCCTAGCAAGATGATAAATAGGCATTGCACACAGACTGAGACTACTCAAAATCTACACCAGGCTGCAATAAGCAGTCATGATAAAGTATTTCTACTTCTGCAGTCATCAAGAACAAAGGCGATCACAAGAACATAATCATCGTTTTAATGAATGTAAATGGCGTTTTCGTAGAAGAGATGGATTGCAGGAAACCGAAACTTTTCATTTATCAAACAATAACAACGAAGATGGCGAGTTATAGGACGTCAACAAGTTGCTCGGCGATGTCTATTATCAGGCAAAAGTTCCGCTAAACCGTGGGTCTGTTTGAATGCTGAAAGTGATCTAAATATATCTTCAGAATGTTTAGAAAATTACTCAAAGCAATTTTCAGAAAATCTAACCATAAAGTGCGTCAATATTATAGTAGTATGGCAGTCATTGTTCAAGGTAATGAAGTCGTGGGGCTTTAAGTGTATTAATACTTTCTTATGTTCACAGTATAGTAAAGCTGATTTGACTGCTTCGATTTGACTGATTTTATGATTGGATTTAAGTAAATTTATTTATTAGAATAATCGAGGCTATGAAATTGTCGATTTGCCGTGCACAAATAAACTGACCTTTTAATCGCGGTTTATGTAAAATCTCATGGCAATGGAAATGTTATATTACTGCTTCATAAAATTAAAAATGTCTTATATATTTGAACAAAGTAAGAACATTGCTGCATAATGTATAAAATCCAGTAAAAATTTCACAAAAATTTCAAAATTATTCTTCTTCATATCATACATTGAACGGCGAAGATTAAAGACTTATTGAATCCAGTTGCTTTAATCGAAGTATCAGTCATATTTATGATTTTTAATCCATTTTCTTGCAATATTGTGTAATATTATGTTTATTTATCACATAGTATGCAGTACAATATTATGTCATAACAGATGTCATAACAGAACTGTGATTAAAGTACTTCAGATATTATGTTTGCTAATTGTCGTGCATGGTGCACATTGAGTTACATTCACGTGATTTTGCAGCTTCTGATGATAACTAGAAGGAATTCCAAAACAGTCCAAAGGATTGATTTGGGTGAAAACATTTTATTTGCACTATTTGATTTTCATCGCATGCACACTTTCGTACTTAGTATTTCAACCAGTATTCAGTTTCAGGACTTAAAGATAGGAACGGAGCATATAAAAACGTTCACTGCAATTAAACCAATGTAAAATACTGAGCGCATTTATACGAATATTTTACTTAATTATGGTTGAGAAGAGTTTTCGGTTATTAGTAACTCGGACTCATAGCAATCCACCTTCAATATAATCCACAACAGTTGCTATTTAGTCTCTGATATTAAATTTTAACGAAGCTTCATTTACAAAAAATTTGCGCGGTACTTGTTTGCATTTCACATGATTTTGATGAGTAAATGTGAAGGGAATTTTTGCTGAATGTTGATTTACGAAACTCAAAGTTAAAACCAATGAACAGGGAAAATATTAAAACTTGGATATCAATTCATTTGTGCAAAAAATTTATTTGGAAAATATCATGAAAATACTTTCAATTTATTGTGAAATATGATTTTTCGCATTGAATGGCAAAGAGGAATTATTTTAAAATTTAAGAAAGTTCTTGAGCTCTCTTTCAGATTGGCGTAGCGATGAGAAGGAAAACAAAAATGATTCATAAATCATCTTTTCTAATATTTAAGTAATTGGCAATACTTTGCTTACTTATAAAATATTTGCAGTAAATTCGAAATATACATTTCCTTGATATGAGCGTATTTAATAATCAATGAAATATGTTAAGAATAAAATAAAGAGGTTTTGAACCTGGCAAATAAACATTTTTAATAGTAATTTTATTCGAAAAGTTATTGGCATAATCATAAT